GCCCTTTAAATTAACATACACAGCTCGCAGACTGCGAATTCCGACCCGGTATTTTCTTCATAATGTTTTAATAGCACTATTTTGCTACTGTATTTCACTCACTAGAGTTTATTTTGCCATAAGGTAGTATGATTATGCATGACACGAAGTATTTGCTAGTCTAGTACTGAAGAAATTAGCGTTTGGATGCGCATTGTGCGGCTTTAATTAATTAATTAATAAAAATTTGCACAGGGACAGAATTGAGCTGCCTTGGCGGAGGTCTGCGCTCTCCGAGTGCTCTAATTATTATTATTTTACTCATAAACATAAGCTTTAAATAACATACACAGCCTGGCAGACTGCGAATTCGGTTTTTTCTTCATAATGTTTTATAGCACTATTTTGTACTGTATTACTCAGTAATTTTATTTTTTAACTGCTCAACACTCCACGAAAAAGACTGTCTTCAGTACATGTATTTGTATTTGAATTACATGCAATAAAGATTTAATAATAATAATAATAAATAATATGAGGTTCCATAGTTTTACATATTGTTTGCATGCACGTTGCACGTTATTAGACAGACGGCCATTCTTTCTGTAGAAGCAACAAGCAGAACAATTGTCATATAGTGCCATCTGTTGACGACAAAAGAAACTGTTCAACCAACAGGCGGGACAAACCGGCAGCCTGTACTAATAATTAACGGTGGCACAAGCATGATGATTACAATGTATGTCAAAGCATCGACAAACGCAGTCATGTCGTAGAACCAAGCATTTCATATCAACCAGCCGTTCATACTGCAGCTAAAGCACAGCCACATCACATCAAGGGTTGGACGGGTAGTGTCTTTTCCACTTGACAACCTCACACAAATTTGTGACTGATACTAGGAAGATTGTGCATGGGCTGTCACACGCGAGCATCTTTCAAACAGCAGTAACAAGAGAGCAGCAAGCTTCGCTCTACAGTCCAACGCCCTCGCACTCCACGATATTTGTCTCTCCATCCTGGGTGATGTTAAACTTTACCTGGAATATTTCGCAAGCCGTTCTACACGTCAAGATAATGATTTTCCTCTATTTCCAGCTCGTAAAAGTTAAAAAGTTTCTAGTTAGAAACAGGTGGAAAGCTTTCTTTAGAATTCTACTCTCAAGTAACTGACTATTGGTCCACTGTTAAAAGGTTAAGTGGCCTCTTGAATTTAATCGCCATGCTCTAGAGTGCGAATATTGCATGTCACTAGTGATACATAGGCCATATTAGACTACTGGTACCAGCTTGCACTAAAAATTGGTATATAACGTTTCTAGACACATAATGTAAAAATAAGTATATGCACAAAAGCTTAAATAGGATTCCTCTTTGTAAGACGACCTGCTACAGCAGATTTAAATATTCGCATATTTAATAGCTAGAATGAGGGGGGGAACGGGGGGGGGGGGTACATTCCCACTTTCCCAGCAAAAAAACACCCCATATCCCAGTTCCCAGTAAAATAAAATCCCAATTCCCAGTTCCCAGGAAATTATGTAGACATGTTTCAGGAAATTCAGTAGTTTAGGTTTTCAAACACTACATAAATACTAATATTTACATACTATTATTTATCTGGGCATAATTAATAAAAATAAAAATAATAAATTAATAAATTAAATAAATATTAGTGCAGAAATTGAAATGCCGACGAATTGACACAATTTTCCCAGATCCCAGACAATTTTAGAGGGTCTTTCCCTGTTTCCCACGTCCCAATGGACTTCTGTTCCCGAATCACGGAAAATTTATCTGACATTTCCCAGTTCCCAGGTAATTAAAATGGCCAATCCCACGTCCCAAAAATACCCGTTCCTCCCCTCTAGAATATGTTACCAATGCCTCGCTTTTAATTTTCAACACAAAAATAACGTACCTTATCCTTGAGTAGCAGCTCAGTTACAAAGATGGCCGTTTTCGTGTGCAGCGTGATAGGTCCACTTCGTACCAATGATTTTCCCTTTGCCAACGCCATGAATATGATTAGCTGAATAATGTAAAGAATAACATGACACGTTGTTAAAAATCAGGGATAAACACAAACCACGATAAGAATAAATAGCATTTTAATTTATACATAACGACAAAATCGACCTTCGAGATATTATACTGGGATTTCTACAGCGACAGCACCCACCTGGTCTTGCAAATGTTCATCAACGCAGCCACCATGTTTCAGGTTGCTAAGCAACTGCTGAGCAGCCTCCTGGCCGACCTCGTGCGCTTCAACCCCTCGCTTGCCAAGAGCAGATCCTCCAAAGCGACATCCGGTCGTCGTCTCCGCGACGATACTATAACGACAAGAGAGCATGCAGAGTTAGGAACATAGCAATGCAGAGTGAGTCAAACAGCCACAGTACCTATATTAAGGAACTGTAGTGACAATCCGCATACACTGCTAATATAGAATTGTGAATGGTTGTTATATATGTACAAAAGTGATATATTAATTAAATGTGAGATTTACCTTAAATGCATACTCATCTGTTGTTGATTCTGGCCTTGTGGCTGAGATTTGCTGAGTATTTAAAAATAATATCTGTCATGCTTCTTCAGGCCTGAATCCTATGTGTACCATCAATCGGTATCGTCTCCCTCCCTACACACGCTACTGCAAAATTTCTGGTATCAGGACAAATACCCCCCGGACATTTACCCCCGGTCAATTACCCCCATATAGAGAGAGAGAGAGAGAGAGGAGTAGAGACGAGAAGAGAGATCGTCAGAGAGAGAGAGACCAGAGACACAGAGACAGTGAAGACCAAGCACAGAGAGAGAGAGAGAGAGGAGGAGGAGAGGAGCAGAGAGAGAGAGGAGAGAGAGGAGAGAGAGAGAGAGAGAGAGAGAGCAGAGAGAGAGAGGACGAGAGGAAAGAGATGAAGAGAGAGAGAGAGGCGAGAGAGAAGAGAGAGAGAAGAGAGAGAGAGAGAGACGACCGAGCAGAGCGAGAGTAAGGAGAGAGAGGGAGACCCGAGGTGCTTGGTTTATATCATAATGCTGACTGGCTCACTAAAGTTGGCTCATGCGATGCGCACAGGCAAGACTAGCCAAATTGATAAAGCACGGTATACCGCAGAATCACGATAGCACAGTACCACGCCATTGAAGCCATTACCATGCCCAGGCACTCAAAGGAGCTGCTTTGCGAATGACTCTGGAATCAAGTGAGTCTGAAAACCCTAATACAGAAATTTTGGTTCTAGCGGACAAATACCCGCCCCGGACTGAATCCCCCCGCCCGAGAAATTACCCCCGACACCCATTCCCCCCCCATTCCAGCCATTCACACGCGGCGCGGGACATATCTACCCCGCGCGACAACTTACTCCCGCGGACATTTACCCCCCCGGACAGGTTTACTGACCTCCGGACAATTACCACCCGCGGACCATTTACTCACCGGGACAGATTACCCCCGCCCGTACCTCCCGACAATTACCCCCATCCCGCCCATTCACATCACCCCACTGGACAATTTACCTCGCCCCCGGCCACAATTTACCTCAGCCCGACAATTCACCCCCCGGACATTTACCCTCCACCGAGGGCGAATAACCGCCCCGGACATTTATCCCCCGGACATTTACTCACTTGGTGGTTTATTAATTCATCTGTTGCACGCGTGATACCCGTCAGGGAGAAGAGGTCAGCCGAGGAGGAGGAAGAAGGTGGAGTAGGACGGAGGAGGAGTGGGGAGAAGTGGGGAGGAGCAGGGGGAGAAGCGTGGAGGAGGAGGCACGCATGGAGGACTGAGAGGTGAAGGAGGAGGGGGAGAACGTGGAGAAAGTGGCTGGAGGAGGAGGAGAGGGGAAGAAGGTGGAGGAGGGAGGAGGAAGTGGGCAGACAGTGGAGAGGCGAAGGACGGGGAAGAAGGCTGGGTGAGAGGCAGGCAGGAGGGAGAACGAGTGAGGAGGAGGCCAGGGAGGAGGAAGTGGAGAGAAGGTGGAGGGAGGAGGAGGAGGAGAAGGTGAGACGGAGGAGAGGAGAGGAGGTGGCAGGAGAGGAGGAGAACTGTAGGGTAGAAGGTGGTGAGAAGGAGGGCAGCGACCTGCAACCCTTACGACTTATTCGTATTCCCTCCTACGAATTTCCATGATGTCTTCTAACCGAAATGTACGATCTGACTGCGAAAAACTTCACCGTCGTTCTTTCTACATCCTGTGACATGAGCAATACTTCGGCGATTCCGCTGCGGTCGCCAAGCCATAGTTGGACTTTCACGCGTTCCCGGTTGTCTTCGGCTGTGACTAGAAGTTAGTCGCCATCAATTCCTGATGCGCGCATAACATACACCAAGAATGGCTGCCACCTTCCAAGAAACAGAACGCCTGTACTATTATTCATCGAATCACCAGCGTTGGCAGGTCTGCGCCGCAGGCCCCGGAGGAGACGGTAGAAGGCTGGAGCACGAGGAGGGAGCGCAGCAGAGGAAGCGAGCCGGAGGGTAGTCGACGGGCCAGGTGCGGTGGAGGAGGAGAGGCAAGCAAGGTGTGGACGGTACGGCCCAGGTATGCAAGCGGCACGGGTGGAGGCACGGAGGAGGACCCAGCTAGCGCCACACATAACGTTCCACACTTGCACTCAGGGCACAGGTCAGTATACCGCCGTTATTTGGTCGGTCACACCGAGCAACGACGGCAAGACCGCGTTCGCTCACGCAACCGGAGTTTACTTCGTCCAGGGCAGAACGTACGCAACCACGAACGTGTAGCCTCTCAGACACTTCTCACAAACACGTTATGCTAGTAAGCGTTCGTAAAAACGCGCCCGGTTTTAGGGTTCGACCGGTTTACAGTATTTCTTCCCCTGAGTAGTATTAATTTACCATCTGTCAATACGCACGTGGACGAACCAGCTGATCAGAAGGTGAGAGGTGGACGTATGCACCGGGAATCGACTGATGCAAGAGTGAGCTCTAATAGTAAAACCGGTATCTAAATATGGCAGGGTCATTTAAATTTTATTGTCGTATTTCTGTCAAATATTATCCACACGCTGCCTCACACGCGTTTGTTAGGGAAGAACGCGAATCACTGTCCATCTACATCGCGTCAACCAATGCAGTGTTATTGTTTGCGCCAGTAGGGCAGGAGACAACTGGGGACGAACAGCTGCAGTGTGGCAGTCAACATTATTATGAAAATTCAGAGAGGACGCTGGTGAAATGTCATAATACACGTTGTAGCAACGTATCCAAAGGAAAACGTACCACCCCGAACGCTTACCTCGCCACCTGTGACCCACAACGTTCAGTGTAGGAACGTTTTTTAAAACGTTATTAGGACAGGTTCCGCGATATCCAGCATACTGAGCCTCCATAATACCACACCATCATTTTTCTTCATAGTAAATCCTTGACATCCACTGTAATTTAGGGTGACCGAAGGAGCGTGATATCTAATGTAAACGGTAATAAGCGCCTTTAAGTAATTACGGACCCATGGTTCATTGTACAATGTTTAATTGCCAGTTGATTCCCTTCTGTCACGCATCGACCTGTGCAACGTTCGACCAGAAGGCCGGTCTTGCACAAGCAAACAAGGGAACGTACCGTCAAAATCACATTGTAGTAGAGGGCAGCACCGACCCATCAGACGATTGACTGGCTCCTATCAACATTGGATCAGTAAATAGATTACAAGAAATTCTCAACTCCGGCGATACATGGGTATCCACAAATGAATCTGAATCTACGCGTCGAGCTTTTCTGTTTTAATGAAATAACCGACATCTGCAACGGTGAGAGTCGACATTTATACAATAACTCGTGCTCAACAACATTATGTTACGAACAAATGTACAAACAGGCCCAGGTCTGATATTGCTCCCATACACGCGCATTTGTTTCACACACCACAGGACAGCTGCTCGTCTGGAAGAGCTTCGATTTGAAATTAGTAAACGCAATACATCCAGTGAGTGCTTCTCGAGGAAGATGCCCGTAAAGAAGCGCTATTATAAAGAGATAATCAACGATAAACGGTTGCCTTCCTGACAGCTATCACCTAACATGCTGCTGATCGTAAGTCATTACAGCTCATGATTTTTGGACATAATGGAAATCTATGCTACCTTAGGCCCTTCATAATTATAGTTACAGTATAAGTCCTTGTGAGTTTACATTCATTAGTTGCATACCTGACCTGTCACACTCGTGGTCTATTTCACACGTCCTGCACTATTGTCAATTCGACTGTTGCTTTCACAGCTTTCAATGTTGACACCCATTGTTAGGCTCATAATAACAAGTCTTACTAGTATATAGCTCTAGTACTATAGCCCGCTTACATTAACTGCCGCTGGTCTCGACATGGCTGACTCAATATGGCTAAGAATGAAGAAGGGGAGAAGGGAGAAGCTGGTGGAGAAGGAGGAGGGGGAGAAGCTGGTGGAGAAGGAGGAAGGGCGAAAGAGCAGAAGGTGTGGAAAGGAGGAAGGGAGAAGCTGGTGGAAAAGGAGGAAGGTGGTGGAGAAGGAAGAAGGTGGTGGAGGAGGGGAGAAGCTAGTGGAGAAGGAGGAGGGAGGACGGAGAAGGGTTCCGTAGAAGGAGGAGGGTGAGCAAGCTGGTCTGAGAAAGGGAGGAGGGCGAGAAACACCACGGTGGTGACGAAGGAGGGAGGAGGCGCAGGGGAGGAAGGTGGTGGATGGAGGGAGAAGCTCGGTGACGACGGCAGAGGATCATGAGAAGCTGATGGAGAAAGAGCAAAGGAAGAAGGGGGACGAAGGGAGCTGTCGAGGAAAGGGGAGAAGGAGAAGCTGTGGAGAAGGAGAGGGAGCGCTGGTAGGAGGAGGGAGAACGGAGAAGTCGTGGAGGAAGGAGGCAAGGGAGAAGCCTGGTTAGGACTGGGAGGGAGAAGGAGAAGATGGTGTAACCGAGGGGGAGAAGGAGAAGGTTGGTGAGGAGGAAGAAGGGAGGAAGTTTGGTGACCGAGAGAAGCTAGGGGAGAAGGAGGAAGGAAGCCGAACGGAGGGGAAGACGGGAGCTGTGGCCGGAGGAGGGGGAGAAGAGAGAAGCGGGATAAGGAAGAGGGAGAAGGGAGCTGTGAACGGAAGCAGGGAAGAAAGAGCAGTATAGTCGGAGGAGGGGGAGAGCTGGTGAGAAGCAGGAGAAGAGGAGAAGCGAGAAGAGTGTGGAGAACGGAGGAGGGGAGAAAACCTTGGTGGAGAAAGGAGGAGGGGAGAGACTGTGAGAAGGGAGGAGGGAGAAGCTGGGTGGGGACAAGGGAGGAAGATGGTGAAAAGAGGAAGGAGAAGTGGTGGAGAAAAGAGGAAGGGGAGGAGGGGAGAAGCTGGTAGAAGAAAGGAGGTGGAGAAGGAAAAGCGGTGGGAGAAGGAGAAAGCTCACGAACCAGCTCTCCCCCTTCCTTATCTCCCACCGAGCTTCTTCCCGCCTCCACACCTCTCCGTTCTCCACCTCTCTGACTTTCCTCCACCAGCTTCTCCACTCATGCTCTCCAACCACCTCTCTTCTCCCTTCCCCCCCTTCTCAACACCTCCTTCTCCCTCCTCCCCACCAGCTTCTCCCCTCCTCCTTCTCACACTAGCTTCTCCCCTACCT